GATGGATGGATGGATGGATGGATGGATGGATGGATGGATGGATGGATGGATGGATGGAGTCCAGTCTTTTCTGTTGTCTTAAAATGTAAAAATTTCAATAAATGTTAACAATCATCGGATGTTTTTAGTTTTATAATTTAACACTTACTGGTCGGAAAAGCCCCCTCTAACAAACTTACTTGGCCCATGGGCCACCAGTTGATCATGGCAGTTGTAGCAGGTTTGGCTCTTTTGATCATTATGGTTGCAGACCCTTGGGTTGGGGCAACCTGTATTCCTTTAAGAAACACTGGGCATTTCATTAATACTGAAATAATCCCATTGATAAAGACCTTGTTTTGTCTAAAGATACTCTGTCTCTTTTACCCACTCTGCCCTTGTGATAAATCACTTGAAGGATGATTGGAGTGAGCGCTAATGGAAGATTCATGAAAAGAGTCTCAGAGAGAGTAAACAGAGTTTTGCTAAGTGTTTACACTGTGTCTCCGTGCAGACATCAGAGCTGATAGCTAACACTGCCCGACACAATGACTGACCCTGACTCTGTGGCCTCGCCGGTCAAATAAACCTGCATGAGTTCAGGGGGGGGAAAAAAACGCACAGCTGCAAGATCTCCAAGAGGAGGAGCTGATTAGAGACAGAGATAAGAGATGGTGTGTTTGAGTGGAAAGGTCACAAAGGTCTGACACTGAAGGCTTTTCCATTCACCTGAAACATTCCTTTGAGTCTTCACATGTAGATGTGTCTGCGAGACCAATGAGACAACTTCTAAGAATCCTGATGATAAATGAGACTGCTGCACTACTAACCCACAGTTTGTCATTTTAGCGTCACTTTAACCACAGGTGAGCTGTTGTGCTGCACACAAGTGACAAGAAGACAACCAGACAGTTAAAGGAAGTGAGATAAACCTTTATCGTGCCTAACGTGGACAGCAGCAACAGCACAGGCTGACTAACGTCTTCTGTAAGTGCAACAAAAGCAAAGCTGCTGATGTGCTCAGAATTACGAGTAGTCCTGAATTTAAACTGCACTACCTGGATTGTATTTAGTATTAATTTAAATGGATCAATTTAGAAAAATTTAAAAACTGATTTAATTGTCAACGGTTACTGAACCAGGTGCGACAAAAGATTTGTCAACAATAATCACCTTCGTATACTTTTACTATTCAGACAGCCAAATAATTAACAAGTAAAAACTGTCTGTGATTTTACTTTTTATGGTCTGATTTAATGTAAAAGTTTTTTGATCAACCAAAAGGGCAGAACAAGATGGTATTGGTCTCTTTCTGCAACAAAAAGTGAACAAACCCCCTTTTTCTCACTTTCACTGCCTTCCATAAGTGGCATACTTCCTTGCTAAAGGTTCTTTCCTCTGTTTCAACAACCAGGGCCAATGCCCTTGAGCAAGACACTTGGGCTCATTGGAGATCTTGTTCAGTTGCTCAGCTGCTCACTGTAGATAATTTAGGGTTTATTTAAAAGAGAGAGGAAATAAAGGTCAAGAGGTCTGAAATGGGAGATATAGGAATGTGAGTGTGGTGCTTAGAGGAATCCTTGTGAGGACGGACGGAGCGTTCCTCCTGTCAGGCCGTTTGAGGGGAGCCAGGTGACCACACGGGCGTAAAGGGAGAAGGTCAAAGGTTCAACTGCTCTGTAAATACTTCGCACGGTGGAGGAGCGTCTGAGGTCAAACAGCGCATCAGCACCGAACCTCTGCAACCAGAGGCTGTCGTGCTTTATGGTGAAAGTGTGTTTATTTTTAGGATTCAGGAAGTGAGAACGTGTGCACTGAGATGTGGTAGTTTATCTTATTTTTGTCCTTTTCCCACAGACTTGTTCATGTTAACGATATTAGTAAAAACGTTTTGTTTTCACGAACAACAAATATAACAGTTAAGCAAAAGAAAAATGGGTCTGAAAGTGCAGAAAGCAAAAAGATCTCCGGTTAAAAGATAGAAATAATGTATAAAATGAAAAGCTTAGCATTCCTTTAAAAATCTGCAAATAGCACCTTTCATTCCAGAGTCCATCCATCCATCCACTCATCCCTCCGTCCATTCATCCATTATCTTTATACCGCTTCTTCCTTTTTTGGGTTGCAGGGGTCACTGCTGCCCATGTCCAACAGTCATTGTGTAAGAGGCGGGGGACACCCTGGACAGCCTGGTCTCCAGTCCATCACAGGGACACGCAAGACAAACAACCATTCACTCTCTCACTCACTAATGCATGTTTCTGGTCTGTGGGAGGACATCAAAGTACCTGGAGAAAACCCACACACGCATGGAGAGAACATGCAAACTCCACCCAAAAAGGCCCTGGCCGGGATTTGATCCACCGGCAACCTTCTCGCTGAGAGGTGGCAGCTCTACCATCTGATCCACCGTGCCGCCCTCTTTCCAGAGTCTTCAACTAAAATCAGTTTATGCTAAGAGATGGAGTTAAAGTCATTTTGGTCACCTGATGACCTGATACGACCTGTTGCCATTGCCAACGACTCTCAGCTACTATGTGTTCATTGAAATTAATTAGTTTTGGTGGCCATCTTTAATCCGGTCGACTCCAAACGTTAATCAGTAGACGTTCAACGATTCCTTTAGGAAAGTTTGTTCATGAGATATTTTGCTACCATGTCAGGTGATTGACCACACACACATTGATTTCTTCTTTTAATTCCTCTATCACTGAGCAATTAAATACAATTCAGGGTTAATATTTTTGGCCCTTACTGATTTTTGCAACAACGCTTGTGTGTGTTTGTGGCGTAGAAATATGAATGGGGTGTTATTACAGTAGTTCCTGAAGTGGGTTACACGGATCTGTCAGAATTGGGGGTGGGGGGGGGACTGGGTATCCTACTCCCCCCTTTGACTGGTTTCTCACGGGAAACCCGCCTGAGATTCAAGCAGGCGTTTAGAGCCCATGTGTGACTGTTTGTCTTCTTGAATCTGTCTTTTCTGAGAGGATGTCACGCAGTAGCTATAAAAAGAAGAGTGGAGCAATGTCAGCTCCAAGATGTGCCACTAAAACTGGGTGCATTAAAACCGGGTGCATTAAAACCGGGTGCATTAAAACCGG